GCTTTCTCCGTCTCGTCACCGTCTCGCGTAAACTTTTGTCAGCTCTACCCTCCCTTGTATTATTTTACTAGTCTGATGATGAACAATCGAAAACGTTTGTTCGCCTAACTTGACTGTTTGAATGTTTACATGGATAGCATGACTGAACTGTGACCTCAAGCTTAATCCCAGCCATACGCTCGAACTAAACTCAACAGTTAACATGAAATCAAACCTTAACCCTTAACATAGTTCTTACCCTAATCCTCTACTCGGATCTTAACTCCAGCGTTAAACCTAACCATAACGTCAACCCTCACATTACTCGTAAACCTAACTTTCCCGAAATTTGGCAGCGCCCCATATATCATGGGTGATGCCTATTCCGCGTCTTATTCAGGCGTCTTTATCCTTTCTATTTCCTCTTCTTTAGGGCGTATTGTCTGAGCTACCTCTATATGTGCAATACAGTTTTTTTACGGAGCCTTGTCAAGGTTCACAGACATGTCACCAGTAAATACATAGTCTTGATTCTTAATTTTAGTAGCCTTTTCCGTGGCCTCTTCCTCATTCGATGTTCCGTATTTCTATTTTTTGATCTTATTTATTCAATTTTCCCGAAATTTGGCGGTGCGTCATGTATCGTGGATGGATTTTGTTCCGGCATCTTGTTTAGGCGTTCATACAAGTCATACCTATCCTTTCTTTTTCCTCTTAGTGTCTGGGCTACCTCAGTATATACTTTAAAGTTTTTATGGAGCCTTGTCAAGGTTCACAGACATCTCACCAGTAGCTGAATAGTCTTGATTTTACTCCCTACCGGGATCAAGGGGATATGATCAGATGGTCTGTAAATTCCAAGCTACAGCTAGATACTGTAGTAGGCCTATAGGTAGTGTATAGACCGCAAACTTTACGACATAAAGGCATGGCAGGACTTGTGTCATTACTTAATAGCACTTTATTAAACCCATAAGCTAACCACTTTATCGCATACAGATTGGGAGTGCTTTCTGGGTGCCGACTTCTTAAAAGGCACACACAGGCCGTTTTATAGTATACTATTTACTGGCCATAGTAAAACTGATTACTAGAATTAGCAATTTCGCATAGGCGCGTACTTCTAGCAGCAGTATCGTAGTCCAAACCTAGTAGAAATGGACGCAGCCTGATGGATAGAGTTGAGAGGGTGGAAACTAAGCCAAGTGCTGCTGTGCTCAGGGCCCCAAACATGTACTTACTCGCAATAGTTAAAACGCATATTCACACTCCTTGTTGAAATCAAGGGGGTATGAGCCACAGCGTTGGCTTTAATCAGCATCAGCTCTGACAAATGGTAGCGTCGGTGTTAGTACCAGTACTACTAACGCGCAGCTACACTGCTAATTAGTAGTAGCAGAAAAAGGAGTAGCCATATCCGTCTCAGCCTCCTTGAGCCTGCCTTCACATCTATTGAAGATGAATGAGGGTAAATAGTGCTGTAGTACTCGCGCAAAGTCTACTGTCACTTAAGAATAAGTTAGGCGATGATTCTGGCTTGCAGTGGAGAAAGCGGCCAACGCCGGGTCCCATCTGGTCTTCTTGATCCCGGGCGAAAGTGAAGAGTGCGGTTGGCACCAACTACGTCCACTATCACTATAACTCACCCCACGAGACTGTTACCTTCGGTATCAACCTGTCGGTGCACTTGGTAGACTTAATAGAAATCGATGGTAGAACGCACAGAGTCTTGATTCTTAGTTTTAGTAGTCTCTCCCGTGGCCTCTCTTCTATAGTTGTCCTCTTCCTCATTCGATTATCCGTATGGTTATTCTTTGATCTTTTTTCTTCAATTTTACCTAAATCTGTGTGTTTTTCTCTATTTTTTTGCACTTCCTGTATATTCCTCTTCTCACTCTTCGGTTTTCTAATGCTTTCCTTCTTTCTATTATCTTTTCGGCTTCCTCGTTCTATGCTATCCTCTGTTATCCCATTTCCGTCTGCGTTTGTTTACTCGCCAATTCCCGACTTTTTTGGCTCGCCCCTGATTCCGTTCTGTCTGATCTATCATGGTATGCTTGTAATTTCAGGTAGAACCTCGCAGGTGCCTTCTCTCTGTAGGCGTTTTCGGTTTTGTCGAATTCAAGCTCCAAAAGATATTCATCGTACTGTTGGCAAAAGGTCATATTTGGATTTGCAATACCTAAATCCATTTATTAAACTAATTCGACTTGGTTTATGGGAAAACCGGACACTATAATGCCTGCTATATAACATATTTATTTCGGATAGATTGGGATCCTTAAAATGCGAAAACATATGGCATAAAGAGGGGCGAAAATCATCTGGCAACCTGTTTATACATATGGGAACTCGTGTATTTGCACTTTTAGTGTTGTCGACTTGAAAGCTTATCGTACGTTTAACTGTGTCTCAAGGGACATTTCTCTGCTTATGGTCGAATACTCGGACTAAAAGCCATCTTGGCATTGATAAACAAAATTCTTTATCCGCGTATATATGACAAGGTGGGTAGACAAGACATAAAAATTATCAGTTCTTATGGCAAAACAAATCTGCGTCTTTGGAAAGTTTATTATATACAAAATAACTTATTGTGTCATAAAGGAAAACAAACCGCTTTACTTCCTTATTTATTGAATGCATATATCCATGGGGTTTGTATTCGGTACTAGTCCGGCATGTTGTAAACTGTTATCTGGACATCGAACAGATTTTGCATTTTCAGCTTTGTAATGCCTTTCTTTTTTCAACTTTCCACCGCTTATTGAGTTGCGTATACTTACAGTAGATCAAGACATGCAATGTTGATAGTAGATCCCTAATGAGAGCAATATTGCGGCTATGAGTAAGTATCTGCCCATCCACCGAAAGAAGAGCACGTTTTGATCCGTTTCCTAAAGTAGTTATTATTTTTTTGCTTATAGGTT